ATACTGCCAAAATTTTCTTAAGATTTTGTATAATATTTCGGATTTATTAGAAAATAATTAGAGAAAATACTCGAAAATTGGTTCAAAATTAAAATTTTCTTTTGATATTGTTTACCTTTTGCTGTATTTCTTCGGCGGCTATTTAGAGGCCTTCGGCCACACCCCATCCCCACGGGGGGAGGCGAAGTGCCGCTGAAATTTTATAAAATCTACCGGGGAAGCAATTTTGCCTAAAGACATATACAAGGAATATAAGTATATGTAAAATAAGAAAGAGGGTGTATCTTACGTAAACGTAATTTTTAAAAATAAAATACAGTTAAATACATAAAAATTCCCTAGGTAGGAGAAGGGAAAGGGAATTGGAGTGGAAAAAGTATAGGGTTGTTCCCTTATCCCCTCTTAAGGGTTGGGACCAGTGAAGGGATTTTCTCCTAATTAAAAGTTATTTATTTGGTATTTATATAATATAAATTCAAATTAAATAGTTAGCGTGTGGCGGAAAGAGAAACATACTTGTCGCGCTACTCTCCAGGGGAAACCTTGTATGCCCCTAGGCAATGGTGGAGGACCGGTAGGTTTCTGAAGATTTAAAGTAATTTTTATTAATCTAAATTTATTAAAATTCCTTAAAAATATTAAAATGGCTTAGAGAAATAGCCGAAAGAAGGTGAAGGCTTTCTAATTTTGGTACTTAGATAGGGGGAGACATTTGTACTCCTGAGGGGTAACCGGAACAGTCGCTGGCACTGTTCCCTCGAACAGGGCACATGCCTTGTATTCGAGGGAACTTGACTATAGGGCCCGTTTGCCTTGTTTAGGGCCGAGATTTCGCCGTTGGCACCATAGAGGACTCTTGGGATAGATACGAGATAGATCGACAGCGTAATATCGGGGCTCCCAACGAAGGGAGGCGAAGCACTGCCAAAATTTTCCTAGAAACGACAGTCTTCTTCGGCTATCTTTCACCTCCTCTACCCATCCCACTTACTACGGTCTCTCTAGCCATAAGTTGGATGTGGCCGCAAGCACAGGTGGACGTCTATGACGCCAACAGCGCCTGGGACGTGGAGCCCCCTGAACTCATACAAGGGAATCTGGTGGAGCTCACGATTCTCGCGCGCAGCGTTCGATATGCTGACGGCCAGTTTGCGTGGAGGTCCATAGTCTTGTTTGAGGACGTGTGGCTTTGGACGCACAAAGAGCATCGGCCTGGACAAGGAGTGGGCGTAGTGAGAGCCTACCTGTACTTAGGACCGGACGCGGTCAAGGAGGCCGTGTTGAGCCTCTCGACAAGAGGGACTAGTGGCGCGGTTAGCAGGGCGTTACGCTACTTGAGGGACGAGGTAGCCGCCTTCCGAGTGGAGGACTTGAGCGACCCGTTGACCCTATTTCACGGACGCCCTCCTCTTGATATCACGGGCGAGCTGGTGGTAGCGCGAGACCGGTTTTTCCCGTACAACGTTTCGAGTCTGCGGGCGGTAGTCCCAGCGTTCGTTGTAGAGAGCATCTTTGGAGGTATTGGCGGAGTGGTCGAGGCATACCTAGCCTATCAGGATCTCAAGGTCCTCGTTGGAGGGTCTGACGACCTCGACTACATCTATTATTCGCTTGCGACTGGTGGGCCTCGTTGGGGTGACGAGAGGGTTCAACTTATAGAGCTGATCCGTTCGATAGAGGACGAGTGGCCCCAGTCTCCGTGCGTTTGGGATTGGCTGGACCGTGAGCTCTGAGCAGGCCCCGAGTACGTGACCCGTATCGGGTGACTCTTCTCCGACGACTGGGGTAGCTGGTGGAGTGAGGACGCTGGGCGACCTCTGATATACGACTATTAGTTGGCGGAGTACTACCAGGCTATAGGACAGGCGCCATACCGCGTCGAGGACGAGTTTGACGACGAGGGTTGGGAGCGAGAGGACGACGAGGACGCCTGGGAGCCGGACTGGGTTGACCCAAAGAGTGAGGTTGATGAGGAGGAGGAGGTCGACACGGTGGACGCTCACTTCCCTCGCACAGGGGTACCGATTAGGGCCTAGGTGGAGTGTACGGCGGGGCGAGTGCGAGCTAGGCTAGCCATGAGATTCGGCAGTAGAGTGGTAGAGTGGGAGAGTGGGATAGGAGATCCTGCGGGCAGATGGTACAGGAGATCGAGGGAGTCGACCTACCCTTTGGTGATTTCAGATGGCCTAGACCGCCCGAGATCATAGCTCCTGACTTGGTGGAGCTTGATCTACCGGCCAGATGCGGCTCGGAGCCAGGGCTGACTGACCATTGGGGGTCGACTCGACTGGGGCCAGACGCACACCTATGGTCATATACCGTTCAGACCTACGAGTCTGATCCGCAGAGGTGGAAGGCGCCCAGCACGACGTCCATAGAGGTCGTAGGGCATGCTTATTACTCACGTGAGGTGAGCGTCGTCGTCTATATCCAGGGCTTGGTGCATGGGTTCTGGCGGTATGAGAGAGAGGCGAGAAAAATCCTGACAGGCAAGATAGAGAGTGCACGAGAGGAGATTGAGGATCCGTACGGGCCTATCAGGGAGACGAGGACTACGTTTCAGATAGGAGGGTTTACCTTTCCGACAGCCCGACTGCGCACCAGGTTCCCGGTCTTTGTAGTGGAGCAGCTTTGGGGCTTGGGGAGCGTCGTGGAGAGACATTTCGCGGCTCTAGAGCTAGACGGACTAGCCCGAGGGGAGAGGGACCGAGACTGGATTGCCTACGCACAGTTCGTAGGCGGACCTCTTACAAGAGAGAGAGGGGTACAACTGATTGAGTTCTTACGTGCCCTAGTGCCTACAGCAGACCACCACTTTTTTTTCCCGGGCCAGCCCTTAGAGTTATGGGTGGCCTTAGAGAGGGAGGTCCAGAGGCCTGTAGATAGTCTGGAGGGAGTCGGGCGGCTCTTTAGCGAGACTCCAAGCGACAGGCATACTCCCCTCATTTCTATCTGGGAGTTGAAGGAGCATTATCAGAGTATATACCCAGATAGGGAGGAGCTCGGCTGGGATGCCGAAGATAGAGATTGGGTACAGCATAGCGACATAGAGCCTTGGGGAGAGGACGAGAGATTGTGGAGCGACGTGCCTGACGTAGGGCAGGGCGAGATTGGCCCCGGTATAGACGGACCGCAGGAGGACGGTTGGGGACATCTCCTTCAGGCCGAGGGACAGGAGGATATCCCATGGGGTCAGAGTGGAGATGAGGATGGAAATGAGGATATGCCAGATGCGCGAGACGATTAGTGGCTGGGCATATCCGGGCGTAGCTTAGAGAGGGAAGTAGGGGATCGGTTAATAGGCACGGGGAAATAACTTTAGGCAGGACGAGAGTGGCAGTAAGAGCAGGAAGGGATGACAGACATGGATACGCTGAGAGTGACTCTTTCCCTACGGTGAGATAGGACGGGCGGTTGGGAGGAAGAGGCGTTGGACAATGTTGAGCGACAGATCAGACTCATGACGGAGCATGCCCTGGAGATACGGAGAGGCCAAAGATATGTCGAGTTTACTATCTACTTCTATGGAGCTGACGGGAGAGTGCACAGCACCTACTCGACCATACTGGACCTGAGTGGGAGAGTTGTCTGAGGAGTTAGCAACATCGTGAGATAGGGAGCGTCGAAGGGAGTAGGATGACACAGATCGAGTGGCGAAGTGGAGATGAGGAGTGCCTCGGCGGCTTGGCTAACTTATGTTCTCTCACGAGAGTCCGAATCCTATAGCGTGAGGAAACTTGTAAAACCCAGAGAGACGGCTGTTGGATATGATATTCCTCTTCCTTTGGGGTTAGAGGAGACTGGCAGTGTCCCGATACGTTACCTTGGGACGTGGCTGACAGAGGAACTTTTCCTTTGGACGGTGATACTAAAAGATAGACGACCCGAAATGACTCATGACCTAGAAGGGGTCGGACATCTGATAACGGATAAAGCTCATGATTTAGACATAGGACTGACACTCACAGGGGCTAGCAGGGCTTGGTGGAGAAACGAGTTGTTGGAACGAGTGATCGTTAATCAGCAACTCGCGAGACTCTCTGGAGGAAGGTCGTATTAGAGTCGCTTGGTATACGGACCTCCGCATCCGACCCTCTACCCGAGAGAGGGTTGGCGATTTGGACTTCCTGCGTTCGTAATAGGGCAGACCTATGGGAGCGTAGATCGTCTGAGTATAGCAGTGGACCACACACTTTACGAGTTTTGGGAGGGCTTAGATCCTCGCTTCAAGGAAGCATACTACTCCATTTGTGTGAGGTGGGGGCCACCCAGCAGAGAGATGCTTGACGACATCATAGACGTTACTTCCTGGGTGGACTGTCCGAGGCGAGTTGATCTGATTAGGTACTGCAGGAGACGAGCGGAGATTGATTATGTTGGGCTGGAAAAAGTGAGATTTCTCTTCGAAGTCACAGCTTAGGGAATGCCGGGGGAAAACGGCAACTGTGATGCGCTTAGATAAGCAACTGGTAAGCAAGGGATACACTGTGACAGTACTTCTCCGAGCATACATAGATGAGGACTTGACGGTGAGGGAGTGCCGACTACAAGCCAGGGATTTGATCCGCGAGCATAGAGCTTATCTATTGGCGCAGGTGACCTTCCAGACCTCGATTTCCTATGATGTGATGATATGGTCTCATGGTTGTATGCGCGCGGAGCACTACCACAATGAGAAGGCAGCGGAGGCTAGAGCGAGGGTATGAGGATGAGTTAGAAAGAGATGTGGACAGAGTATGGAAGAGGAGAGTGAGGCGGTCGGAAGAGTGAGAAAGTGCATTAAAGAACCACTCTTGAACCGGGTAAAGGAGTTGGGGAACAAGATTAGGGAGATCGGGTCATGCCAGGATGAGGCCAAGCTGCGTAGGGTTGAGCTTGCGACGAAAGAGTTAGAGAGTTTGTTCAGGGAGGAAAGAGAGGTTATCCAGATGTGGAGATCAGACTTTCTGGAGAGAGTAAAGGCTAGGAACCTATCGCGCGAAGGAGCTAGGGAAAAGTCTGCAGAGGACGTAACAACGGAGGACAAGGTAACGTAGGGAGATAGCAACAGGACATGGGCGGGACTGCCCTACACACGACGGACAGGTACTCATTGCATGTGGTAAGGAGACTCGACGAACCATTGGTGTTAGTGATCGCAGAGCTCCAGCTCCATACCAGGTTGTGTATAGTTGAGGAGGCAGAGTATGTTCGCCGGGCATTGCATGAGGCTAGGGGAACAGGACTTTGGATCGGAGTGGAAGGAGTACGAAGGATAAAGTACGTACTACGCACGACACCATTGGATGGGAGACCTCTGATAAGGGTGTGGTACGAGACGCTCAGAGAGACTGAGAGACTGAAGATAAGCGAGGCCGGGAGAGCTGAGGAATTAGGGAGAGTTATAATAAACGGAGCGATACTGAGGGTGCTAGCTGCTCATGACCGATACTGGAGGGAATCGATAAAGACTTTAGAGGCCATAGAGGATAGTGGAGATGAGGAGAATTTTGAGACGTTCTATGGTATGTTGGAGTTGTCGGCGATGAGACTACGAGCGGCTATAGCACTGACTTCCCTCAGATACTAGACAGGTGACCTTATAGCTGTCAAGGAGTTGAAGGGGGAGATGGTTAGATGGCAGTAGGAGGAGAGTTTCCTCCTTTTGCGGGCTACCCGATTCAGGACGGACTAGATGATTTAGCCAGGAGGACGGAGATAGACGCTCGAGGACTCTAGAGGGGTGCAAGTCGGGAGACATTGGTTAGGTTTGGGACTGCGATCAGCAGCAGGAGTAGACATCCTGTCACGGGTGTAGTGCAGATCAGGAGAGGCGCGACCTTGTTTGCGAAGCCCGAGGGTGAGGTTTACATAGATACCGGGATTCTTGGGATAGAGGGAGAGCACGAGGTTCGCGACGGGAACGGAGTACTGGTGGCGGTAATCAGAGCAATTGAGAGCCAGGACTGGAGACGAGCGCGAACCATAAACAAGTAAATAGGTCCGGGCTGCGAGTTCTGTTACAGGTCCGGGCTGCTGCAACTGTCATAGGTCCGGGCTGTAACGCCCGGCGAGCCCAACTAAAGCTTCTGGTAGCCTATGGAACCAGACACGATGGGGCCACAATCGACCACGACCGAAACAGGAGAGGAGTACAGGACATCGCCCGACCGAGCACTGAGGGATCTGAAGGAACGAATTAGGCAGGGGGCACCGCTGAGATGGGCTGACCAAACCAATGACGGAGAGCCCGACGTAATGGGCGAGCTGGACGTGACAGAGCAGCAGGAGGCTCTGAAGACTGGAACCTCGAACGCTCAACAAAAAGCGACGGCACGACGTTCCCCCGACTATGAACGGAGGGAAACTAGGACGGATAGGCGCGGGGACGACTGGAGAGAGAGTTCGCGAGATTCCTATTGGAGGGACAGAGACAAGGATAAAGCACCGCCCCGGCGAGTCTTCGACCCCCAGACGGGGGAGTCACATCCGCTCCCTTACGAGAGCAAAGATCGCTATATTATTACGCATAAGGCCTCGGAGCCTCCTACTTTCAGGGGCTATGGTATCACAGAATATCTGGAGAAGTGGGAGCTTCATGCTAGACAGAGTCAGCGGTCGGAGAAAGAGATTATAGAAAACTTCCTATTTAATGTGGATCCAAGTCTCGGCAAGGAAGTTGAGGAAGCCCGACCGAAGGATGGAAAATGGACTACGTATAAGAAGAACCTCATTGAGCTTTACAAATTAGAGGATAACAAGTACTCCATCAAGGACCTTGAGACTATGACTCGAGATGAAGATGAGAGCGTGCGGGCATTTGGGATGCGTTTCCAGAAGATCTTTGACTTGCTGATGAAGAAGGGAAAGATTTTAGAGGTCGAGCGCTATACTATCTTCATTGGACACCTATCCAAAGGTAGACAAAAGAGTATACTTAGAGATCTCCCGCGCGACAAACTTGATTTCCCTGAAGTCCTTAAACTCGTGATAAAGGCAGAGGCAAACGATTACAAGGACTTGGTATGGAGAGGAATGAGGAGACGTGACTTCTCTCTCTATAAGGAGTATGTCACTGATAGATGTCATGATTTCAAAGACTATCCCTGGTCGGAAAAGAATGAAGCCGTGGCTGAGGAAGTGAAGGAGATAAGGGACATGGTAAAGGGATTGATAAGATAGGTTACAGAGATTGTGACCACCACAGGAGCCGCGACTTACCGGGACAAACCCGGAGGGCCATATTCACTTCGCTGTGACCGGAGGAACACCGATTCCTAGAGAAACGTCRARKATAGAAATCCTCGAACGCTGACTGATTATCGTGCGAGGGAAAGGGAGAGAGACGATGAGCCATGGCGACGTAGGGATGATGATATAGATAGGGACCGCAGGGCTCGCGAGACGTATGGGTGAGCTAGGAGACTGGAAGATTACTCGCGTAGCCCTCGCTATGAGGCTGATGGGGGTAGAGGCGACTCTCAAGGCCGGTGGGAGTCAGATCAGAGCCGGTGAGATGGATACAGGGACGACAGATATAAGAGATCGGACCGAGATGGATATAGGGATGACATATATGAGAGGTCGGATCGAGATGGATACAGGGGTGGCAGGTATGAGAAAGGAGATCGAGACGAAAACCGACGGGATGACTCGCGCGGACGGTATGACCGCGGGGGATTCGAAAGGGCTCAGCGTGACGATTCGCAGGGGTGGTACGACCGAGGAGATCGACGCGATGAGTCGCGCGGGCGATACGACCATGGGGACCGCCGGAATGACTCACGGGGACGATATGAGCAAGGAGGATCCGGAGGAGACCGCCGGAATGATTCGCGTGGCCGGAATGAGAGAGGGGGATATAGCGCGTCATCCGATCCGCATACAAAGTCCCCTGACCCCAGAGCAGGGAGAGGTTCGACCTCCTGGGGCGCAGACGACAGGCCACCCACTCCCAGGAACTCTTGCGTCTACTGTAGAGGGGATGATCATATCAAGAGAGACTGCCTGGATCTCAAACGGGCAATAGATGAGGGACTTGTCGTGCTTGATGACCGCAAGTACGTCAAGTGGGCAGATGATCTGAGAGACGTATCGATGTTCCCTTCGATGAATGAGAATGTTGAAGCAAGGAGAGTAAAGCCGAGTAAAGGAAAGAAACCGGTTAGGAGCCAGAGCATCAAGATAACTTTCGAAGGAGATATGGCAACCACACCCATAAGGGTGACAGCTACCAAGTCGGAAAGGGGGTCTATATCGAAGAAGACCGACATGGATTATGTGATGGCAGAGAAGGACGGACAGGGGATTGATGAAGAGGAGGTTATTCTTTCACCACGAAAGCGGGGAGTGAAGAAGTTCTTGATGAAGAGTTCGCTGGATGAGATTGACACGGTCGAGCCACTGAGACGGGTCTTCAGTATTAGAGGTGACAGCTATAGCAGATCACATAGCGATAGTTCTTCTTGATGGGATGGAAGGTGTGCCTCCAGACAAGTTTTACATACTTGGGAGTGAGACCGTGGAGGCGGTTCTAAACGATGGAGCGGTTCTGGATGCTGTGATCGATAACGGCAGTGAGGCTGCCATTATAGACGAGGATCTGGCAGTGCAAGTTGGACTAGGCCTCCATAGGTCGTACCTATTCGAGATAGAGACGGCTGATGGGAGAAAGCAACAGATCACCGAGGTTTGTCACAAGGCAGCCATAGAGGTCCAAAGCGTACGAGCGACCTTGCCAGTCTTTGCAGTCAAGAACTGCAGCTCTGACCTGCTCTTGGGGCGGACGTGGTTAAGCCATGTGCATGCGGTGACGATAGAGCGGCCCGACGGGAGCCAGACATTGTCCATCAAGAAGCTAGATGGGGCGCGAATTATGATTGAGACAGTGGAGCCTTGAGACCCGAGGAACAGAGCAGCCCTCGCTGTGGGTGCAGGGCCCGGTGATCAGATTAAGTCATTACCTATCTCCGACTACGCGGTGCGATTTCGCGAGAAGAAGTATGGACCACTGCTCACAGAAGAAGAAGGTCGGATTGTAGAGGTGGAAGATTTAGGGAGTCCGCTGATAGTGGACGGCAACTCATATCCAAAGGAGGCAGATGAGGAATTTGGCGGCGTGGTATCTGTGTCTTTTTTAAGGGCACAGCCCCCTATGGGGGGCTACCCAAGCGACACAAGCGAGTAGCTCATAAAGTTAAGCCAGCGGTGATGGGCCGCGAGCGATCTGCACTGGAAGGGATATTGGAAGAAGAGATCGCAAAGGAAATCAAAGAAAGAAAGAAAAAGAAGCCGCAACGCCTAACGGAAGAGAGAATAGCAGGGATGGACATTGAAGATGGAAACCTGACCCCTCATAAGCGGGAACGTGTGATAGAGATCTTAAAGACGTGCGATAAGGCTATAGCCTTCAGCGACGCGGAGCGCGGTAGGGTTGACCCTCGTTACGCAAAGCCGGCAAGGATTTACACGATTCCACATGTTTCATGGAATGACGCAGGATAGAAATACGCCCAGAAGGAGAAGGAAGAGGTTATCGCTTTCCTGAAAGAAAAGATGGCTTCTCATGTTGCGGAGCCATCTGACAGCGTCTATGCTAATCGATGGTTCTTCCTACGAAAGCCGAATGGCAAGATCCGGTGGATCCAGGACCTTCAGAAGGTCAACGCGGAGACGATTCAAGACGTGGGCTCCGTGCCACACGCCGACTTACTGGCTGAGGGCGCCGCGGGCAGGTCGATTTATTCGGTCTGTGATCCGTTCTCAGGCTATGATGAGGTACCGCTTGATCCTAGGGAAAGGCACCTCACGGCTATGCACACGCCATTGGGACTGATACAGATGATGGTCGTCCCTATAGATTGGACTAATGGGGTAGCCGTTTTTCAGAGAGCCATGGTAGCCGTCCTCAAGGACTTTATTCCTGATAAGGTTGAAGTATTTTTGGATGACTTTCCTATAAAAGGATCAGTAAAGAGAGATGAGACAGAGGTTGTACCGGGAGTTAGGAAATTCGTCGAGCAACACTTAACCGACATTTGCGCGATACTTGAGCAGTTAGACGATGCAAATTTAACGGTCAGCGGAACAAAGAGCCGGTGGGCCATCTCGATTATTAAGATCTTAGACTTTATTTGCGACTCGAGAGGACGCCGAACGGATCGTGCGAAGCTAGACAAACTCCTAAATTGGCCGTCCCCGTTACATAGTGCTACCGAGGTCCGACAGTTTTTGGGAGTGGTCGGTTACTGGCGGATATTCATACGGAGGTATGCGGAGAAGGCTGAGCCATTGAGGCTACTCCTTCGGAAGACTGAGAAATTCTACTGGGATTCTTCACAGAAACTCGCTATGCAAGAACTTAAAGATGAATGTAAGGAGGGAGGGCGCACACTGGGCATGTCTTTCTTTGATGATGAGGCCGATAAATCCTTCATAGTATCCACGGATGCTGGACCTTGTTCAGTAGGTGGGTTGTTGTCTCAGAAGGACGCTGAAGGGAAGGAAAGACCGTTAAGATTTGAGAGTAGGACACTTAATGCAGCTGAGCGTAACCACAGTCAATTCAAGAAGGAAGTGTTAGTTGTTTTGCGGTGTCTAGACACGTTCAGACACTATATCTACGGACGACGGTTCATCTTAAGAGTAGATCCCACAGCGGTCGCCTCTGTCCTCCAGAAGGACTTTAGTCTGACGACCCGACCATCGCACAATGGTTAATACGGATTCGGCTATATGATTACACAGTTGAGAGGATATCTGGCACTAAAAATGTTGTGGCGGATGGCCTTTCTCGGATCCCTCTTGAGGCTGAGCGCCCAATAGTAGCTGAAGCGCTGACATTGGCAGAACCAAGACGCGCCGATCGATTTCTGGTTAACCTCTACGAAGGCAGATACCGAACGATTGGGTTACATTTATCTGGTGAGGAGAGTCAAGATTCAGATATCCGGAGACAAGCAGCCCAATACTGCCTTAGAGCGGGCCATCTATTCCGTAGACCAGTCGGGTCGGGTACGCCCCTACGAGTAGTCTGTGATCCTGACGAGAGGCAGACGATAGTTGCGGAGCTTCACGACGGGGTAGTCGGAGGACATAGAGGAGTCAAAGGAACCTACGAAAAGGTACACAGGCTGTACTGGTGGGAAGGACAGTATAAGGACGTCGAGAGATAGTGTATAACCTGAGAAGAGTGCCAGAAGAGAGTTCTTGTGAAATACAAAGAGCCACTTCATCCATCCTATTCGACCAGGCCGGGAGAGAAGGTACACATCGATCTGGTGAAGATGCCGAAAGGAGTAGGCAATAATATGAACTACATCGTGAACATACGAGACGACTTCACTGGGTTCGTGGACGGTAGACCTATCAGGAGTAAGACGGCAAGGGAAGTAAAGAACTTCGTCCTAGAGTACTTATCTAGGTACGGTTGTGTCGGCAAGATAGTGATGAACAGAGGGGCGAAATTTCTAGCTGACGAGGTGCAGAGTGTGTTCAAGAGAGTCGGGGCGAGAGTTTCGATAGCCACCACCCACCACCCACAATCGAACTCTTCAGTAGAAAGGGGACACCAGACTCTGATAGCGTCACTATCCAAGTGGTGCAAAGGTAAGGACAGTGATTGGCCACGATGTTTTCGATATGCGATATGGGCGGACAACGTTACGGTCCGGGCTAGTACTGGATACCCACCATACACGTTGTGGTTTGGGCAGCATTGTCCGCTCCTCATAGAGTTTCACGTCGACAGTTGGACAACCGTTGACAGGGCGGAGAAGATGTCCAGAGACGAACTCATAGCTGCCCGAACAAGACAGATAGTCTACGGTTTGGAAGACAACCTTATGACAGTGGCAGATCGTCTAGCAGTGGAGAGAGACAAAGGTAAAGAGAGATGGGATAAGAGCATGCGGATCAGGAAAGAGAGGGTGAGCGTAGGAGATATGGTCCTTCTCTACGACGCAGCACTGGAGAGGACCTGGACCGGAAAACTCGCCAACAGATGGATGGGACCTTATAGAGTGGTTGAGGCGCTCGACTGGGGTGCCTATATGATAGCAGAATTGGACAAATCCAAGTGGAAGGACCCAGTTGCGGGTGCCAGGTTGAAGTTGTTTAGACCCAGACCAGCACCCATCTTATCGCTGGCGGGCCCGAAAGGAAAAGGGAAGGCCAGAATGGAGGATGGAGCCCCCTCGAGACGATTCGAGGCAGAGGAGAGTTCCAAGAAGAGGAAAAGAATGGAGAAAAGAAAGGTCAAAGGGTTGGCATTAGGAAGAGTGAAGAAATGGTTATTCGTGCTCAAGAGGGTTAGGCGGAGAGTTCGCATTAGACAAACTGGCGGGCCGGCACCTTTCTCGGGCCAACGTCAGAAGAAAAAGAGGATCCTACTAAGGCCAAGATCCCGAGAGAAGAGGAAAGTCAAGAAACATCTTCTTAGCCCCAGAACTTATAACAAACTGAGACAGGAGACAATTAAACATCGGCGTGGGCGTCCTATACGGGCAGTCACCCTGAAGCTCGTCCACTTCTTTTGACGAAAGTGGATAGGGCTCGACGGGGGCGTCGAGAAGTGGTCCGGGCTAACTGTCAGGCGGCCACAAGCAGTGCGCCACCTGAAATCTGTGGCTTTGGGACTTAGGCTCAAGGACAAGTCCGTGTTTTGACGGTACTCTGGTTTGACTAGGCAGCAGAAATTAGGGGAGCTCAGGGCACCCCTGATTTTGGGCACACTGAACCTTACGAGTAACCCTCAAAGATGGCGAGATGGGTGGCCGCACTCGCCATATCTTGGGACCGTCATTTTTGGCCGTTCAGAGGGTTAGACCCCGATTAGCCTGCCGCAAAGAGGCACTACGGGAACTAACACCGCCGCAACGTTTTTGCAGCATACGACCAGGGCTGAAAAGAGGCCTCAAATTTTTGTCTATTTTAGTACCATAATTAAAGATGGGGAAAAAAAGATTAAGACAAGTAGGGGAGAAGAAAAAAAAAAAAAAAAACGCAATAACCCTTAATTTCTTTATTTTTCACGGCATTTAATTCTAGGGGGATACCCTTGTTATTTTATGTTCCCGGCAATGAAATTAAAAACATAGAAAAGGATTAAAAATAGTAAAAAAAAAAAGAAATAAAAGGAATTCGGCCATTTATTTAAACTTTCTCGGAATAAAAATTTTCAGAATTTAAGGTTAATTTACTATTTTCGACAATAAAATTAAGGAAAAGGAAGAATGATTAAAAAGGATGAAAGTGACGGGAACCCATAACTATTGGGAGATTGGCCTAATTTCGCCTCGGTTACCCGCCATCGGCTCTGACCCCGGGTTGATAATTTTTCCCGGATTCTAACAGTTTTCACTACTGCCGATGGTTGAGGTTCCCTGCGTCGCTTTAGCTGGATTGCTTGATTACTAACATTACCGCAGTTGGGATGTTCTAAGAGCGGGAGTCGCATGGACAGCATGGGGTGGTGCTACCTTGGGTCGACAGTATGGTATGTGGCTTGGTACGGGTATGTGATTCAGAGAGATTCGACATCGTTATGGAGTGGCAGCATCCTACGCGATCCGACGTGTTTCTGGTTCGGTATGGGCACGGCGTCAGTTGTTTTCAGGCTTGGGGACGTTGCGGGGATCTATTTTCAGGTCCGGAACCACCATTGTGGTTTATTACAGGTTCGGAACGACCATGGCGCCTTGTTTCCGTTTCGGTACCACCACGGCAATTTATTCCGGCTTCGGCGCGACCACGGCTGTCTATTTCAGGTTCGCAAAGACTGTCGTGATTTATTATCAGATTTGATACCATCGCGGTGGTTTACATTCACGACTGGAACCACTAGGTCAGTGCATTTCAGGTTCGGAACCTTGGCGGTAATTTGTTTCAGGCTCGACGGTGATTGTCCCAGGTTCCGGACGATTTGAGGCACACGTCAGGCATCATTTTTGGGCTGGTTTCGCCTTCTGCAACAGTGTGACAGGGTTCGGGCTACCTCGGTATTCGGCATCGGTCTGGTATACTCCGCTGCGTATCTCAGTTTCGGTGTGCGGTGTTGGTTTAATACTAGTTGATACTGCCCACGACACGTTGTTGCGGCTCGGCTGCGGTACCGGCACAACATCTGTTTTAGATTTTTTTCTGCAGGCTTGGTCAATGTCGCGGACCTGGCACATGAGGCCATGGGATGACTCGTTTACCGTGTCGGGCCGCTTATTTGCAGGATAAGCGAGTCCGACATCCAAAGCAACAAAATACAAATTACTTAAAGCGGGAACTCATCACGTTTGACAAAGATTGATAGATGAAGAGAGAGGGAAAGAGAAAGAGAGAGAGAGAGAGAAGAGAAAGAAAGGGAGAGAAAGAGAGAGAGACGCGAAAGAGAGAGGCGAGAAAGGGAGAGAGAACATAGACACAGAACCAAGGGGCGGGAAAGGAATAGAAACGAAAGTCCCAAAGTTTCCGAAACGCGACCAGATGGCCGTAAAATTAACTGTGAAAACCTGCCATATACATCGTAAGATAATCGTTATGGATAGGCGCAGCGACCCTACGCTGCATTTCATCCGGCCGCCAAATACCGGAATCATCAGGGGTCTGTCTGTAGTCGCACAGAAAGGGACTGGACGAATAACACTAATTACTTAAGTACTGCCAAGACAGAACAAGTCCACTTAACAACTTGAGCACAAGCAACTCCGAAACCAGAATAGGTTTGAGAAAAAAAAGTCTAGAATTCCCGAAACTACCGGATGAACCGAACCTAGAAAAAGATCAAGAACAGAAATTACGGAAAACATTTCCAGCCCCGGGTTACTCCCACCAAGGGCCGTACTTTCAACCAAACAAAGTTGAGACAATAAAATGACCAAAACCAAAAAATCAAAAAAATCAAAAGAATCAAAATCAGAAGATCCGTCGGGGGGACTCCAACCCTCCATTGGCAGCCACTTGTTTCAAACGCCAGTCTGTACCACGGTTTAACCACCCCTGAGCCTTTGAGAAAAAATATATTTTCGATAGCCCTGAAAACCAAACAACTCCTAATAAACCCTGACCTCATGGAGGTCCTAATAGCACCTTCCCCAACGACCCCTAACGGACCCCAGTAACCAAACAATTGCTAATGAACCCCGACCTCCTGGAGGTCCTAATTGCCCCTTGCCCAACGACCCCTAGCGAACCCTGGCCTCGTGGGGTTCCAAATCAACCCTTACTGTCCGAGACCTCATATGTACCAGCCTGCGGCCAAGCTGCGAAAGGACCGCTTCCCCACAAAATCCACAAACACATCTCATAGTGAGTTCTTCTGAAAAAATATTCATATACCCCTACATGCTGAATGACATGCCAGACTTCCTACGAGATTTTCACAGCCCCCCTGCCTCTCACGTGAGGCACCCCCCTGCTGGGGTACCTTCTTGTTCCCACTGTCGATAGATGTTCCCACCCCATCAAGCAATGCACCCAGTCGGCCCAGATTCCCCCGAACTTCCCTGAGAAATTGCGTAAAACATCATCAAAATATGCATCAGGGAAGTTCCTCTTTCTGAGCTCAACCTTTAAGGTGAATAGAAAAGCCACCTCCGTACCCTGCATTGTTGTGAGAGCCTTGGCTCTGTGCAGGCAAGAGCCGATCACCGCCTTTTTCTGCTGCAGACTGCAGAACGAATCGAAGTCCTGCAGGTTCTGGAATCGCAAGTCGTCCTCATTACATCTTCGCTGATTTTTGTGCAAAGCAACACACTGTATACCCCAAGGCCACTCCAGAGTCTTTAGAATACAACCGAGAAAATCCCAGCAGTCAGCATCGCTGGTGCGCTCCAAGATTATATTACTATCATAGCAGGATTCGAATTTCACCGGAATAGAGTCTGCGTCCTGCATTGATGTGCAATCGCCCTGTTTGTATCTGACCATGATTGACACATCGTCCACCATTCGAACCCCACCCACCAATCTCCTATCACTGCCGAGAGAGGACAGGAACAAAAATTTGTTGAAGGAACACAACAGACAGGCCAATGCCGGGCTAGACGACTTCCCCATCGGAATGCCTACCCTCTGCTGCAGGACTCGACCAGAAGCTTTGAAGAACGTGCACCCTAAATCGAACTCTATAGGAGCATAGATGGTCTCAAAAGAAACCGAACTCCAGCCAATAGCGGATTCCCCAAATTGGAGTTTCGCACCCTTCCCCTTCCTCCTTATCGGCACTCCTTTGCAGCCTCGGGTTTCCCAGAAATCAGCGACCCACCGGACAGCTCTCAGGATAGATTCATGTGGCAAATTACAGAACATCTCTTTGATGTCAAACGCCATGCTGAGAAATCATTCACCTTGCTTTAGCTCCCCATTAATCTCACACAGGGACGAAACCAAATCCGCCATGCTCCTCAAGTTGAAGTTCGTCTCCCGCGGCAACTCCCACAGCAGTTGGTTAATCGCTCGAGCAATCTTCCTGCTGGCTGACACCCCGCACTCAGAGTGCGTCGGGCAAATGGGACGCTACTTGGTGATATCTTTGTGCTTCGGGATCGAATATGCCTGCCCCAATCTACCCGCACGATTCCATTTACCCAGCCGATCAAACTTCCCCTCCTTGTATCTTGAAGCACACACACGGATCATCTCATCCTCATCTTTTCTTATCACAAAACCTGGGTTAAGCAAGAACAGCTTGTTCATACCACTCTGATAGATCACAGGACAACAGACAAGCGAATCACCAGCATTGTGATCGACATGACATCTCACCAACTCCCCAAACTTTTCCCTTCATTCCAACACCGTATCAATACTCCGCGAGAACAGGCTATCCCTCCTCACTGTCTTGTTGAAGCAACAGTCAATCGTTCCTTTATCAAAGGCGTCCTCATGCAGAGCAGGTAACAGGCTAGACAGGCCAAACGAAGTAATCACTTGCCTCACCAAGTTGCGTCGAGAGGTGACATGTGATGGACAGGGGATATTGCGAGAGTTTTTCAGAGCAGTCGGAACGAAGTCAACCTCAGCCATACGAAAGCAGACGTGCCCCTTTACATGCGGAAAAACCTCATCAGCCTCAGCACATTGGCACGACAACTCTAGCTGCCTGGACGCAGATCGAAAGTTTAACAAAACATCCCCAACACTCCGGTTCTTGACCCACACCACCCGCATTCACCTCACCACCATATCCTTTATACACCCCGACAAGTCCAACTTGCCCAGCAATTCGCAGCACATGGTCCTAATTGCGCTCTTGCAGAGACAATCATCATAAGTAATGCGCACAACTAGACGAGAGCGTACATTGAATCCAAATCTCCTACGAACAACACCGGAAAGAACGCAGCGAAGAGTGTACCTAGTTCTCTTTTCCTTAAAGCTCCTGATGGCACTGTAGAGGCCTACCATCTTTTCAAGGTCCCATTCCGACAGACACTTTCGAGACGAAGGGTTCTGTAGGAAATTTAGCAGGGTGGGTTTCATACATAGCAGAGTAAAACAAAAGTACGAGATGGTACGAAATTTCAAAGTTATGCCGTTAGCCAGCCAGCCACGGTTCTTCTTCAATGCTCCAATTCCAAAATCAGTCTCGACGATGGACCCCCCAAAGCATCTTTTGATCACCCTCCATTTGTCCAAGAGCAAACCCCATCCAACACACCGAACTGTCAGCTCCTTCTTTCCACACGCCCGTGCGCGCGACAGAAGTCCCATCAGACTGGCTGACTTATCACCCTCTTGTGCCACAAAGTTCAAATGCGTATGCTTAGCCACATCAACCCTCACCGTCTTCACACTATCACCCGACTGCCTTCGTCTCCATCTCTCCCGCTTCCGCTTACCCGGACGACACCTCCTATGTTTGACCAGCCTGTCCCTACTTTTAAGAAAGGGGTTTGTACGCCGAATCACAAACCTCTCCAAAGCCAACAAATCACGTTCGTCGCAGCGAAACAAAGGCAGAGCAACGTACTGGCCCGGACAACGTCTGCGCAGCCAGTTATACAGCCTATGATTCCTTTGCTCGCTATCTATAACGCCTTCATTGCAGGCCTGGTAGACATGCTCGCACCACCTAACATCCAGAGACCGCCCCGTGGAACCTACATAACAATGTTTATGCCAAGGAGATATGAGGACGTACACAATTGGACCTCGACATCGGTACAGCTCGCCCTCCTCTTTCAACATAGTCAACAGGTAAGTCCGAAAATTCGCCGCCCACGGAATACACCCACGCAATACCAACATCAACACGACAATCTGGAAAAGAGAGTTCCATGACTCATCACGCAGAGAAGAGGTAGAGACAGAACGAACATCACGACAAGCCTTGGCAAACCCCCAAATCGTCGCGCTCGGGAAGTCCCATCAAGCACAGTCCGACGGGACTTCCTCTACGACCACGACGTTGCTGTCATCAGATACTTACCGTGACTGCGCTCGTTGCGACGGCCTTCCTTGGGTCCGCTGTCTTCACCAAACATTTTTGCCGCATTGATATGAGCCACCTCCTCGACAGAGATGTCCATCGTCTTGTATTTGATACCTGCTTCCTGGCATAACGGCTCCAAACCAGCCTTCTTCAAAGCCCGCAATCTTTTCCTCTCGTCTTGAAGAAACCCAAAACGATCCTTTGCCTTAGCGATACCGTCGTCGGGGCGAGCCATTCTCCCGGGCGTAGCCTTCACCTTGCTCTTCTTGTCGGATTGAAACCCAGTTTTTGCCGCCTCTTCCATCCTCTCTTTGAGGTTCGTGCCCCGCTCTTTAGGGGAGCTGCATCCGGCTTGCTCCGTCGTCAGCCGCGCCAGCTGCTCCCGTAATCTAACCAACTCGTTCTTGGCCTCGATCCTCCTTGCTTCGACCAAAGCCCTCCTCTCCTTCAACATGTCCACTTCAGTTTGGTCAAACTTCCTTCGTTCCTGTAAGTCCGAAAGTTGCACTCGCAGGCGCCTCGCTTCCTCCGAAGACCCCGAGATACGTGTCCTAGTAGCGGTTCGTCCTTCGGTAGCCGGTGTAGTTACATTGATACTACCTCGCTTGTTTCCGGGCCGCCAAGCCTCGTTTCTCGATAGCTTCGCGATCTCCTCCGTTTCCTCGTTTCGTTTGCGCAGAGCCTCCATCTCCATAAGCAGATCCTCGATCTACTTTGCTAGATCGCTCCTCCCCATGTTGTCGCGGCCCTCCTTGAGGTCACGAATCTCCCATGTCAAGGCGCCCAGCTCCCCTTCCATCTTCTGCTTCATATCGGCCTCAACACGTTTCAGGTCCGCGTTCTCCCGCTGTAGCCGGTCAACCAAGTTGGTGGACGGCAACTACTCCTTGATGCCGTATTTCGTCCTTAATTCATCATTCCCTCGTCGCAGTCTACGAATCTCGTCGTTATCCAGGCTGGTGTTCGCCTTGGCAACCCCTTTGCCCATGATGGCTTCGTTCATCGGAGCCAGCTTACTTTCCAAGCGCTGGCCGATCTGATTCTCCAATTCTTGCCTATCCTTCTTCACTCGCTCCGCCGCCTCCTCCTCCTTCTCCCATCGTTGCTTCTAATTTTCGGCAGCTTCCATTTCCTCCCTTTCCTTCAGATGCGCTTTACTAACAAAATCATTACACTTGTCAAGTATCTGTTGGTTCCTCGTCCACCACCCCGTACGCGGTGCTCCGCTGTACGAATTCTCCACATGCGCTCGAGCTGCAGCTGATGCCACTTGTACCCCCGCGGCTGGTAAAGCCAGTAACGGTTCAGCATTTGCTCCCGCCGCCACTGGTGGCCGTTGATAGTTCCTAGGATGCGGGCACTCCCGCGACCAATGGCCCTGTTGGCCACAGTTAAAACAGGCTCCCCTTCCCGGAGCAGCCATGGCAGAAGACAAAGAGAAAAAAGAAAATAAAAGAAGAAAGGAAAGAAAAAAAGATGGACAAAAAATAATGACAAATCCCAACGTTCAGTTCGATGAGGCAGTAAACAGGCACACTACCGTAATGCTATCTTCACGGCGGTTACTACGCGAATTGCTGGATAGGCGAGTCTGACATCCAAAGCAACAAAATACAAATTACTGAAAGCAGGAACTCATCACGTTCGGCAAAGATAGATAGATGAAGAGAGAGGGAGAGAGAGATAGAGAGAGAGAAGAGAAAGAAAGGGAGAGAAAGAGCGAGAGACGCGAAAGAGAGAGGCGAGAAAGGGAGAGAGAACATAGAGACAGAACCAAGGGGTGGGAAAGGAATAGAAACGAAAGTCCCAAAGTTCCCGAAACGCGACCAGATGGCCGGAAAATTAACAGTGAAAACCTGCCATATACATCGTAAGATAATCGTTATGGATAGGCGCAGCGACCCTACGCTGC